GGGGCAGAGCGGTGGTAGTTTCTAGAAAATAAGGCTTTGGGAATGTTTCTGCAGCTTCCCCGAGGCGGTGGGGTTGGAAAGACACTGGGAGACCCTAAGCACCCCCCTCATCCCCCCGTGCCCGGGGAGCAGCACGACCACCTTGCAGAAGGGGTGAGAGCAAATGGGTTTCCTGGCTCTTGAGTTCTATTATTATTATTATTATTATTACTACTTTAGACTTCTTCCCCCTGAAAATGCATTTCTGTTTTGAGTTCTTAGAAACGCTGGGCCTGGTTCACTGCCTGATTTATGGCTCTGTCCGTGGAGCAGGAGTCAGCCCGAACAGATTTAAAATCTTCTAGGGAGCAAGGGAAAACCCTGAAGAGATTAGTCCTAAACTAGAAAGAGCTGTAGCCATATACATAGGAAGTGACTGTCAGCGTATCTGATCAGGCCCATATACCGCTGTGAGATCAGCTGCGCTGGACTGGCCGTCCAGAAATGACAGGCTGGGAAATACATCCCTGTGTTTCAGCAAGTTCCCAGGCTTTAACATTTCAGTGTTGCTCTGAGTCAGAATATGTCTTCTCTGTTTTTCTGGGGTTTTTTGGTCTTTTTTTTTTTTTTTTTTTAGCTGGCAATTAGATGAACAGTTTTTAAACGGAACAACATGTTTCTGGCAGAAAGGACATCATAACAACCCAGGGAACTGTTAAAAGTTGGAGACCGTCGTGCTGCTGTGTGCTGTTGAACAGCTGCTGTATTTCACTCCAGAAGTGGCCGGTGTTTGGTGGCTCAGGCACTGAGGTCCCTCTATGGGTGCTTACATTTCTAACGTGTTTTCAGGACTCCTAGAGATGAAAGTGCTTTATGTAAACAGCACGATTAGTTTTCATAGCTTGCGCAGCCCTGGCTTTTTTTTTGGTCTTTGTTTTTTAATCTTCTGGTTTTGGCTGTGTCTTCAGGCAAATTAGGGATGAAAGCCTTTTGGTTGTTAGTCTGGCCTTTCGGATAATATATAGCCTGGGCCCAATCCTGCATTCCAGGCATTCCCCAAAATCTTGGCTGTTCTGCAAGTTTTGAGAGTGCACAGAAAGCAGACCTGGCCCATAATGTGCCTGGATCTGTTTGCCTCTGACAGTCCCCTGTCTTCTTAAAATGACTCTGGTTACACCAAGTGACATTGCTCCTTGTCAAAAGAGACGGGGAAATAATTGTGCTGGCTGTTTTCTGCTGAGGTACGTTGCTCACAGCAGTTGCTAGGAGTTTGTTGGTGATTTTTCCCCCTCCTTTAAGCTCTTATTCAAGTTAGGGTTTAGTTCTATTCCCAGTGAAATACATGGATATTTTGATATGTGGTTTCCTAAGTTTTCTCATAGGCATTAAAGAAAACTTGAACTTTTTTTTAAAAAAAACAAAACATCTTTACCAACCACTTTCCCCGCACATAGAGCGTGCCAGCTTTTCTTAGAAAAAAACCACGTTGCAGTCCAGATTTCACTCACGGCACCATTCTTCAGAAGTTCAAGCTAGAACAATGCAGACGTAGGAGGGAGGATCAGAAACCATCTGAGGGCAAGTCCTCCATTCTGCCCTGCATTTTGCAAGGCAGTCCCCAGTTTCTGGTGCAAGATAGAAACAAGCTGCTTGGGTGAATTCTTACTGGAAGTCAATACAAACTTCTCAGAAGCAGATTTTGTTTTCTGTTTCAAAACTGGGAATGGCTCAGCCCTGGGACTTCTGCTTGGGGGAACTTTCCGTCAACGCAGAGATTTAAAAAAAAAAAAGTCCTGTGTGTCAGAAATCGTTTGGCTCTTGTGACTCTTCACTTTTACTATAAGAAATGATTATAGGCTAAGGTCACAAACCAGAGCCACTAACCTCTGTTTGAACTTCCTCGTGTTCGGCACATGTGGGTATTTCATTATCGGTTCAGAGGCATAGCTGACTGACAGGCCATGCATACCAGGAAAATGTGCAATCTTACTTTTAAGTCCTTCTTTCAACCTGCCCCTACTTCCTCCATGTGCGTATGAAGGAAGAAGCTGTATCTTTAAGAAACATGTTTTTTTCCCCCCTTGTTTCCTGTGAAATATTAATAGAAGCTGCCAATGGGATGGAGCTCTTTAAGAGTGTTGTGTAAAACATCTCGCGCTGCATTCGCTGCAGCGCTGAGCACATAGACGCCTTTTGATTTATTTTTTTTTCTCCAGAGAAGGCAAAGACAGGGCAAATTTTGGAGATCAGGCAGCAAGGATGCTCTGCAATAGCAATAACAACCATCCCCTTCCCTGCACAAAACTGGGAGCTATTGACTATTCATGGCAAAGCGTCCAAAGCGCAGCGGCAGAGCCTGTGGAAAATGACAGCGTGTAACAAGATTGACTGGCATTTCCTTCGCGCTGGGTCACATGCCTCCTAATTCACACACGCACAAAACCTCATAGGCTGATCAAATGACTTCTATCTCTGCAGCCCACATACCTTCCACAGAAAGAGTTGTTTTATTATGCACATGTACAGCTCTGTTTCCAATCAGTCACCTTGAGCGAATGACTGAGGGCCAGTGTTCGCTCCGTCCGGAGGGCTCTGCGTTTGTTCTCTAAGAGGCATAGTCTCCGTCCGTAAGCAATTTATGGTTTTTTTTTTCCTCTTGGGGGGGGAGAAAAAAGAAAACAAACACGCAGATGCCCCTCCTGCCTTCCCCTCCTCAGAAACCTTTCTAGGAAGTTTGCTTGGCTTAGCAGGGAACGCGCAGGACGGCCGCCGGTGTCGGCGAGCGTTGCGGTGGGCTGCGCTAGGACGGACGGATTTTGCCCTTGTGCCTCCTGGGGTTGCAGCGGGATTACGGCTCACGTGAGTAGGGGCTCGCGGGATGCCGCCCGCTCGCCGCCCCGACACAGGGGGTTAGATGGGAGGCGGCTGCCCGCCGTGGGTCACGGCAGATCGAGGTGCTGGGGGTCCCTGCGAGCACTCCCAGTTTAGCCACTGGCAGGAGGTTCAGATCACCTCGACCTCCGCACCCGGAGAGAGAGAGAGGAGTTTGGAGTGATGAGGTGAAACCAGCCACCAGCTGGCTTGCCAGGACATAGTAATTAGCTCAGCGCAGTGCCAGCCTTATTAAGGGCAGTGCAGGTGATGATGACGTTGGCACACTGATTCATTACATCTGGAGGGGAAAATCCGCCTAGTAAATGCTGAAGCACAGTAAATATTTTTGGCGCCTGACAGATTGATTCTTGTGTTATACTGATTAGCCTATATTTGTGGAACTGAGGAAGTTAAAAATAAAGGTGGCAGAAAGCTACAAGATAAAGGATTTACATTTTGTGGCCACCAGCAATAAACTTCTTTTTTTAATTTATTTTTTTGGGTGGTAAAAATTTCAACACTTTATTTTTTTTTCTCCCCATTCCCTTCTTTGGCTCTAGGTTTCACTGTTAGGTGAAAGCCCATAATTTATTTTCTCTTGCCAGTAATATTCTGGAAGGGAGCTGTAAATCTAAAGCGCACACAGTTGGGAAATGATTTCTGAAAGAATTCTTTTGCAAATACATGGTGCAATCCTGCAAAACGCTTCGGCCCTGACAGTCCTTAGGGGGTGGTACAGACGTATCAAAGTGTGTAGCAGCATGTGTACTCAGTGAGACTGGATGCTTTGGACTTTCCTGCGAGCTAGAGGGCTTTACGAGCTTCAGTTCATGGAGATAAATGATTAAACCAGCTCCTGACTGTTGCTGTTTTGTTTTCCTACGCTCAGGCTCTCACCTGAACTTTCGCCACCTGGTATATGCTGTTGGGATATCCATAAGAGATCGCCCAGGAATGGTGGATCACTTGCTGCCTACTGATGAATCCTTTTCATCTACAAGATCTTCTCTTGGATACTTTGGGGACATGACAGCAGGGGTGAGGTCCTACCAAATGCTGCCCTCTCCCCTGTCGGAAGATGACAGCGACTCGTCCAGCTTTTGTTCTTGTTCCAGCCCTGACTCCCAGGTTCTCAGCTCCAGCTATGGAAGCACGTCCAGTGCGGAAAGTCAGGACAGTATCTTAGACTATTTGTTGTCCCAGGCATCTTTGGGGAACACTGCTGCGTCATGGTGGGACAAAAGGAGACTTCAGCCGATAGTGAAAGAGGAGTACTTTAGGTTGCCTGAATTTGCTGTGGATATGGAAGACTCAGGACCATTTCAGCCCACGCTTGAGGAAATTGAGGAATTTCTGGAGGAGAACATGGAGTTGGAGCTCAAAGAAAGACCTAAAAGTGAGACCAAGGACTTGAGAGCTTGCAGCCAAGTTTCTGTTGCTTCGCTACAGCAAAAAGACCATATGTTACCCAGCGCCAGTTTAAAAGAGAGTAAAAATGAACAGTTGAGCAGCTCAACAGAAGGTGGCCAAGCTTCAAATGGAGGAATGTCCCTGGAGAATGGGATACCGGTTATGCTCCAAATTCAGCCTGTACAGATCAAACAGGAGTCCAACACAAGCCCTAGTTCCCAAGGACCAGCACAAGAGAATATTAAAATTGCACAGCTCCTAGTCAACATCCAAGGACAGACATTTGCCCTTGTGCCTCAGATAGTTCAGTCGTCCAATTTGAACTTGTCCTCTAAATTTGTCCGCATTGCTCCCGTCCCCATCGCTGCCAAGCCAATTGGGCCAGGAGGCATGATCCAGGGTCAGACGGGAATCATCATGGGTCAGAAATTTCAAAAGAACCCTGCAGCAGAACTGATTAAAATGCACAAATGTTCTTTTCCTGGTTGTACCAAGATGTACACGAAAAGCAGCCATTTGAAAGCCCACCTGAGGAGGCATACAGGAGAAAAGCCTTTTGCATGCACGTGGCCAGGTTGTGGATGGAGGTTAGTATTGGGGTGCGGCACTGTCCTATTCCCCCCCACTGTTTTTGCTCACTCTACCTAATTTGCTGAGCAAGTAGGTTTGCACTCTGATTTATAAACTCTTTCTGTTCCCAAAACTTCTTTGGTTGGTTTGAGAATCAAGACTTTTTTTCTTCTTGTTAGGTAATCCAGGGGCCTTAATAAATTAAATACCAGAGCATCACCTGCTGGCACCAGCTGTTTAAGTGTCTTAAAACCCATAAAAGTAGTCCATCATAATTTGTATTTCGTTCCAAGAGGGTCCCGTGAAGCTTGTTACCGCAGGCAACACCTTGTGTTCGCATCGGTCTGGCTGCAAGTACCGGCTGAGGGCTGGGGGGGAACTGGGTGGTCTGGGGCAGACTCACAGCGCGTGGCTGCGTGTGGCCGTGGCTGCGCGGGGCTAAACGTGGTGGCTGAAGGGCTGTGGTAAACGAGTGTGGTTAAGAAGAGTGGTATTCCGTGCAGTTTCATAGCAAAATGTGCTCCATACCACTCCTCCTGGAAATGCTGGCAGTGCCGCTCTGGCATGCTCTGGGTTTTATTCTCTTCGTTGATTCAGAAAAATGCGTGGGTGTCACTCGAAGTTGCAGAAAGCTGTCAGATGTAACAACAGAACCAGAAGGCTGAGATGGAGTTAAGCATTGCTTGAATGGAAGATTGCAGGTTTGATTGAGCAAAACATTTCGCAGAACATTTCGCATTTCACTTGATTTTTTTTTAATACTAGTTGAAAAATTAAAACATCGTTAAAAAAACAAACTTTTTATTTTAAGGACACTTTGATGGAAGCCTTCCTCTGTCTTTCCAATTAGCTGTATTACTAGCCTGCCCGCTGGCAAGTGTTAATACACAGCACCACAAATGATGATGGGAGAAAACAAAATCTGAACTCCCTTGTATTAAATTAAACCGTGTTTCTTTCAAAGACTATCCTGCAGAGCTTCAGCAAGCAATGTCTAATGAGGAAATGGGTTGTGATCATGGGGAACAGATGAGGTAAAAAGTAACAGGAGGGGGTTGTGTAAAAATGCAAGCATGTGAGACCTGCAGCAGTTAGAGATGGCTGGATTGGCTTGAGGGAAAAGGTCAGAATGGCGCTGAATCCTCTGCTCCCCAACTGGACCAGTTTGAAGTTTGCCTCTTGGTGGGATTGAGGAGGTCAATGCAATTAATTTCTCTGGTGGTTTTCTTTCCCGTTTCAGCTTATGATGGCTTTACAAACTGGTGGTGATTGTCTTTCCTTTTGTACCGGTGGCAGTTCTCCTGAGCCAGGCTCAGTGGCTTGCTGCGCAGGATGCGCTGGAATTAGAGCCGTGCTAGTTAGCGGGTTGGTGCCGTAAGCCACAGGCTGGTTTGCTCCTGACCTGCAGTAGAGCCCCTCGCTCCTTTTTATTTGGTTGCCAGAGTACGTGTACACGGGCGGCTGACGTCCCTCCTGCCCGTCAGCGTGCCTGTGGGTGTCGTGTTGGCTTTCCTTGCGCTGGGATGTGAGCAAAACTCTCATTTTTGTGACAAATGCATGTGGCACGTGAGGATTTGTCTGATCCATGCTGAGATTTATACCAGCGCTCCCAGCAACTTTTGTGGTTCAAGATCAGGAGCCTGAAGTGTTGCCTGTGGGTGACCTTCTCCAGCTCTGTCTTACTGCAGAGCTGGTGTTTCCCAGGCTGCAAAACCAAGGGGAACATTTAGGAAAAATATTAAGTGGTAAGGGATGGAGATTGTACTTACACCGGGGTGCCTGCCTTTTCCCAACGTTCCAGCCAGTCGTGTGGATCAAAAGCAGGATGCAGGTGTAAGGTGGGCCAAGAGAAGTGCAGGTCCTGCAGCCTGGAGCACCCTGAACTTTCACTTTCAGCCAGCCACAACTTTTTCCAACAGGGATGAGAAATTAATCACTGTAGCTACGAGGAACATGTGTCCTGTCCACAAACAGCTGCCGGAGGGGCTTTTCGAACTCCTTGTTGCTCTTTGTCTTTGTGTTGCATTTCACAGCCCAGGCTGGTACCCCGACTGCCAACACCCCCAAACTTTGGAAGGGCTCTGCTCGGAGGGGGAAGGTTTATAGCCAGCGGGAGAGGCAGCGCTTGGGGAGCTGCTGCCTTCGCTCGCAGCAACCCTCAGCCCCGTCTGAGATTCCTGCACATCCCCTACGCGCTGCTCCCACATCAAAGGCCAGGCCCATTGAGCACTGAGTTACTCAGTCCCCTTTCATCAATAAAGCATGTTTACCTTTTCCAGAAGTTCAGCGAGAGCTGTGATCTCACATGACTTAAGTCAAATGCGTCTGTTTGCTCCTAGCTTTATATCATCTCAAATGAATTTAAGCACTAAAACACTGCTGGGCTCTGCTTTCCCTGCATTCTTCTGCTTGCGTATTTATTTTTTCACCAAAGACACTTAAGATCTGACCTCACTGAAGATAGTAATTTCAAAAGCAAAACAAACTGTTGCCTAGCACAAGGAGCCTGAGCTGGGGGGTGGGTTAAGCTTCTCCGGCTCTCTGGGCAGCCCTGCTGTGGTGAAGTTGTATGCCTTAAATGCCCCAAGGGAGGGGTGTGCACACAGCAAACCCTTTTGCTAACCCCTGGGACAGCTGGAGAGCCCCAAGCACCTCGCTGGAGGAGGCTGAACCCTGTTTGCTTGTGCCCTTCCTTGGCACGGGGCGAGAGCTGTTTTCGGCAGGCTGCAGAGAGGCGTTCGTAAGCGGCCGGTGACCCATTGCGTTCAATACCCCGCTGTACCGGTCGGCGCGCCGATCCGTGTCGTGCCAGCTTATACCTTTGGCACATGGCAGCCTCAGCGCTGCTCCTGAGACGGCC